TGGTGGGAGCTTTGTTCTTTTTTCTCTTTAGTAAGTATAAGTGAATCAGTCACCCAAGATTTCAAACTGGCCTTTGTTTTTGTTTGTTTTCAGTTTGCTATAGGGCACTTTGTGTGTTTGCCTGAGAGAGACAGGGTCCCAGGGCTTGGTAGTGAAAAAGCATCCCCCAGGTGGGATGACCACACTACAATCCCTTCTCCCTTATTCTCCTCAGGATTTTAGACTCACGTGCATATGACACATTTTCCAAGCTGCTGGGTTCAGGGCTTTAATCACATAGTCAACCACATTGGATCCAGTCACCTTAACTATCAAGCTACCTGGCTAACGTGGTCCTTGTTTTTAAGGACTGCCAAGTACAGATTTATTGAACATTCACACATCTGGGAAAACACTCAAGGAAATTTTTTCCCTTTTCTTAAAGTGCTAACAGTTGTACTTAGATGCCCAGCAAGCTCAGCATATCCCTTCTGGGATATGCCCTACCTCCTCTAAACCTATGCTGGGCCCATGGCGTAGTTTAGACTACTCAGAAAAAAAATGTAACAATGATACCAGGTCGTGACAGTTTTGCTAATTATCCTGTTTCTGCAGCTGGAAAGTAGAAGTGTTAGAGGAAAGGTTCAACTGAGGTTCACTGAGGAGAAGAGTTCCCCAAACCAAGCAGGCTGTGAACCACACAAAGCATGACCACGGCAGGCAAGATAGCATGTCCCTAACAATAGCGGCATAAAATAACAGTAATGTTATAACACAGAATAACATGTAAAATATTATGTTACAAAAACATGACTTTCCTGGTGTGATATTTTCCTGTTATTTTGGATAGAATTTGCAAAAGGTAGGCTTTGATAGCCCAAGCTAGGTCTTTAGAACCTGTAAGACAAATAAAGATTCAAGAATCTCCTAAATACTATGGTAAACAAAAACCAACCAACCGAATTGAGAGAGACAATGCATGTACAGATTGTGTGTGGCCATGCAACATGAGGTGCCATACTTGGCTTCTTGATCCATTTGTCATAGAACTACCTGACAAGTCAATGGCATATGGGTTTCTCTTTCATTTTTTTTCGTGGATCTATCTGGAAACAGTATCAGTGATTGATAGTAATAGTATGAATTCTTCAGTGAAGTTCAGCTGGTTTGAATTGTAGCTCTACCACTTGCTGTCTGTGTGTTTGAGTTATTGTGTGTAACTCAAAGCCTCAGTTTTATTATTTGTGAAATAAGAATATTATTTATATCATAGGAATTTCAAGATTACTCAGTAATAATGCACAAAAGACATATAGCACCTAACCCTGGCCAGGTGTTCACTCATCTTGGTTATTATTATGAGGTCACTAAATAAAGGAGCAATTTTTTTTTTGGGGGGGGGTAAGGTTTCTGCCATAAGGCACATGCCAGAGAAAGATAGTGACAGGGAAAGTGAGAAATTAGCTCCCCCAGAGGAAATGGCCATACCACAATCCCTTCTCCTCCATTCTCCTCCTGGGATTTGGGGCATGCATGCATACATGCCCAGTGTGATTTTCAAGTCTCCAGGTCCAGGACTCGAACCTTGGTAGGCCATGTAGGAGTCCAGTACCTTAACCATCATGCCACCTGCTGGCTCCAATGCAAAACTTCTTAACTGGGAAAGATATATGCAGAACTCCCCAGAAAGTCTCATTTATTTCATTCCTCTGAAAGGTCATGGATCACTGGGCAGATATTCCAAGGTTTTATTTGGGTGTATATTGTTGCTTAAAGGTTAATAGTTAATTCCAGGAGGAAATTTGAGGGATCCATAGCATAAGTACATGTGGCTTCTTTTGGGTCTGATCACCAGGCTCAGAAGTAAGAGATACTGCTTTTTCTCCAAGTAGGTAATAAGTCTTTGGACCTCTAGACTGTTGCTTGTCCCAAAGCTTTTGGTGCTCAGTCTTCCTGTTCTCCGAGGTATAGGGTCTTGGTTTTCAGATCCAGTGGAGTGAGTCCAAGATATTTGGCAGAGAAGGGTAAGTTTTAGGGGATCCTATTGTGGACTATGGCATTCTTCTCAGGGGCACTCAGTCTTCCCACTCTACTTGTGTTCCGTATGTATTGGATTGTTGGAAAAGTCATGATGCACTTTTGCATAGAAAACTATGCATGACTTTTCCAACAGCCCAATAATTGTGCAGATCTTTGATAGTTTGACTTAGTCTTTACTTCCACATCAACCCCAGTGAATTTAAATACAAATAAATTGTTTAAATGTCTTCTCAGAATACTAGTAATAACTAAAATGCAGTGTCCACCAAAATTAACCTATGTCTGTTTCCTGATCTAATTATCAATAGTTATCTTTCCATACATAGAAAACCACTGATTCCAAATCCATTGGTTTCCCATGTTATCTTCCTCCTTTGAAAATTCACGAAATTTTCAAATTAGGTTATATCTAAAGTACATTAGCAAATGTCAGAATAAAATCACCCTCACACCTTCTTCTTTTCATGTGTGGTTCCAATTTCCTGAAGCTAATTTCTTCCTTCTAATTACAAGCACTTCAAGAAGAAATCGTTTTTTGCAACTCAGCCTGAGAACAAGTAGCTCTCATTTCTTAAGGCTGAGTTGAATGCAGGAGGCTTCCTGAATATATCAGAGTACAGCTGCCTAAGGTACAAGATAAATGTTCTCTATTCTATTATTATTATATTTTTAGTGCTAAAGTTCACTAGGAAAAATACCTTATCTCCCAGTGGTCAGAAGCCTGTGCTTGATCAAGGAATCGTGCCCTGGTGATAGGTGAAATGGGGAAATTTACTTTGTTTCTTTTTCTCCTAAAGGAAAAGATTTAAAAATGAAAGTTTTAACCATGTGTTCAATGTTCTGTTTTAGTTGCTAGGTTGATTTAGTTCTCATTTATCAAATCCAGGTATACATTTTGGTGCGTTGCCGTTTACTCATGAAAACATAAAAACATGTCTGTTCATTTGAGGGGATTCTGCTTCATCTTGAATAAGCAGCTAGAATGTCTTTCTGGACTGAGTTTTTTGCTTGTTACTTTTGCCTCTCACCCAGATAACTATGCTGGGAAAGAGAAAGATGAACATCCTATCTGAGATAGAGCCAGAGTACCTTATTTGACACTAGCATTCAGAATTATCCCTGGACTCATTTCCTAATTTCCCTGGCAGCAGTGCATTCAGTCTGCTGAATTATCATGAGAATTTACTGTTAGGCAGCAAAGGGCCTAATCATTGCTATTTTTTTAGACACAAAAATCTCCTGCCTCCTGGGATACCATCACCCAAGCTCCTTCTCTTTCTTAAGAATTTTGTGCCTTGGCAGTTTCTAAAATTGGTTCCTAAGAGATGTTGTATCAAAACAAAATAATAATAATAATAATTCTGTTCTCATGTTTTTAAAGTTTAAATAGTTCAGTTTTAATTTTCTTCATGTAGGTTCTTTTGTTAATGTAACCTTACAGAATAGTCTAGGTCTGATATCAGTCCCTCTTAAAACAGCAGTACTTAATTCTCTTTTATTTTTAGTTTGAGGATATAGCAAAAAGGTACTAGAACTTGATAGTACCTTTGTCTCTTTATTTCTTTCCCATTCAGGCCACCAAGTAAGAGCTGTGGCTTGTAGTTCAGCAAAATGGTATGCTCTCTACCATTCCCTAATGACTTACTAGGCACCAGGCACTAGGTTGGGTATTTGGCATTACTTTAACTGATCGAGTGGGTACAGTGAAGAAAAGTAGATATTAGTATCCACGTTCTAAGAAAATGAGTGAGCCAGAATCTGATCACTGGGCCCCTCTTGTTAGGAAACCACCCTCAAAACCACATACTCAGTGAGTGTGAGGGGAAAAAACGGAGTATAAAGTGAAGTAGTATACAGGTTTCATCATTAAAAATGTGCTACAATTAAGATACCAAGTTCTTCCTTTGCCTAGGAGACTCCATACATGTGTATTCAAGGTTATATCTTAAGGCAGGTGCTGAATAATTTTCTCCTATTCCTCAAATATCTTCCACCCATCCTTGCAGATATCCTTTCTGAAATGAGGGTGGCTGAGAAACAAAGAAAATGACTGTGCAAGCTAAATAATAACTACCGTATTTCTTAGTTAAGTAAAAGGCTGTCATACCTCAAAAATTCAAGACTGAATGGAATAAGTATCCTGATTATATTGACAGGCATGCATTGAGTCAAATGCCTTCTAATAGATACATATTCTATGTTTTGTTCTCTGAAAGAGAACAGACATCTGTGTATATGTACTTGGATTTGTGTTCTGTTTACCATTAGCATTGCAGTCATAGATCCAGTCAAAACCTTCCCATTCAGGAGAGTCTTTGTGCTCTTCAGTGCTAAGGGCCATAAGAACTATATCTGCAATAACTTAGCATAACAACTACTTGTAAATTAAGACTACTCCCAGAGCTGTCTGTGCCATAGAGCCCAACTTTGGGCTCTGCACCGTATTTTCCCCCTTAAAGAACACTGAAAATAGGGACTAGATTTTAGTGCGATTATTCCATTTCCCATACATATCTATGCAGAAGGTTAAGTGTTGCTAAGTTATTTAATAAATTGCCTATCAATTGCCAATTGCTGTACAATTAAAGAAAGTTCCAGAGGCCTTTTGTTTTGACTTCAGCTTACTGTAAATTTCCAACGATGATGCAAGTTTTTCCACAAAGAATGACAGCGCCATCTTGGGCCGCCATTTTGTGAGGAAATTGAAAGTCCTCACCCTTTAAAAAACTAAGTTACACTGACTACGATCCATTTATTTCTTCTACTGAAGGTTACATTTTCTGCCTCCCACAGACTAATGTCGCTTCTCCACGTTGAGAACAAGAGCTGCATTTGGCATTCGGTTACCCAAACCCAAATCTCTGACCTTTTGTTTTTAGTACTTTGCCATTTTGATTTTGCTTTTTGAATTTGCTTGTGACTCTGCTTCCCCCATCTCTTTTTTTTTTTGGTACAATGATTCTTACCTTGTCTTTCCCCAGTCCGTTTCTGACCTGGAGAGACGTACAGCATGTTATTGTCAGGACTTCCCGTGCGGGACATTTGAACGCTAATGACTGGAAAACCAATGCTGCTGGTTTTAAGGGTGAGAACTTCTTTCATATTCTGTCACAGGCAAAATATTTTTTATTTTTCCCCCATTTTAAATGGAGAGCAGGAAATAGAACCCCTCAAGTGAAACTTTAAACGGTGTGCTGCCACACGAAGAGCTTGATCTTTTAGTAACAGAAGGCAGAGTGATTTTTTAAAAATTAAAACCACATACATAAGTCATATTTCCTTGGCTTCCTATATCACAAGGCAACTTTTTTAAAGGATCAACTAATTCCCAAGTATAGTCAGCTGTGGGGCTCCTAATTACTCTTTGCTGTCATTGATTATCTGAGTGGTATTTGTAACAATATATTTTTAAATTCCTCACCTTCTACAGTGATTACATTTATTTAAATAATGGCTGATATATATCTAGTGCTATTAGTTGCTAGGTCAACCATGTTTTCTCTAAATTTCATTTCTGTTTATTTTAAAACTTCCACAAACAGAAATAAAAAAGGAATACTTGTAACAGATATTACTTATAAAACTAAAAGGTCTTATAAGGTTTTAAAATGTGCAGTCTTTATGTACTTGTACACAAAATATAACAAGTGTTAAATATTTTTCCCATGGGTAACACAGATTATATTTCTTTCAAACTGTTCTATTAATGGTAGCCATTTTCATTTTTGTCATAGATAATATATGTTATAGTAGAAAAAATAATTATATAAATTCGGTGTTCAGAAGTTTAGTATATTTATTAAAGTTACAGAAGTCCATTATTTTAATCCATTAATTTCTTATAACAAAGGTGAATGTTTATGTATCTATAGACTTGAGTTTACTCCCAGACAGTGCTAATATCATGATAACATGGGCACTTCCAAAACATTGTAGAAAAAAAACAGAATTAAAGTATGACTTTATTGTAGTACAAAAATTTTTTGAAATCTATGCATAGTTTTTTCACAATACACATTTCCTATGAACTTCTTGAAGACCTCTCATATGTCCTTATAAATTAGAAACAGTGTTCTATATCATAGAGGATATCTACTTAAAAACTGAGGTTCTGGTTCTGAGACAATCAATAACATGCTAACTAATCCTGGACAAGTCATTTCATTTTTAAAAGTCATAAATCCCCCATTTTGGAAACTGAATAATGTAATCTACATATAATATCTTTCATATGATCCCAATATATTTTTAGTGAATTATGCCCAATGTATGCAAATATACATGCCAAAATATATATTTCTAAGGTTATTTGCAAATACCTTGTTATATACTCATGCTAAGCCAAAACCTATAAATATCCCAGGTAACCAAACATTCCATAAATACTTCTTTGATTAACAGCTTCCCTGCAAACCTAACTTCATTGCTAGAAAATGAAGACTATCCTTCTTTTGAGTATCATTGAACACCTTAACATGCTTGTAGACCATCTAAAGCAGCAGTATTCAAAGAGCTTTTCATCTTAAGTTGTAAATACCTGTCAGGAACCCCATTCTCTGAGGCTCAAACCAAGTCACTTGATCCCAAAATTGCAATTGTATGGGCAGCATCAAAATGATTTGAAATTGCATTTGTTCCAGAAAATCCAGGATGTAATTTGCCATATGTGTGTTTCCCTTTGATTAGTTTCCACATGCTCCCACTTCCTACTGTATAAATCCGTGAGGCTGTCGGGACAGAAGAGACCAACGCATAACCTTGGCCTTTTCACAATGGAATGAACTTAGTAGAAGGTTCACAGACTAAGTACATTGACCTTCGTGAAGCTGAGAAATCAACTTTAACCCAAATAAACGTCTTAGTTTTACTTATTCCTTTTTGGCAACTTAAAAAGAGCAAATGGTTCTAATAAAAATGCAGCTCATTTGAAAACCTCTGTTGGTTTTGGAGACGGGGAAACAGAGGATTTAGACTAAATTGCCAGACTCAAACCTGAATCTGAAGGGGGCTGTTCAGTGCTTCTGGCAAGGAGGAAATACTATTTTCCTGTTGCACGTGGCAATATTTAGTATAATATTTCACTCTTCTCTTAGATGGCTGCCAAGAGTAACAATTAAAGTTCGCTTTTTCATAGATGAATTACTCTGAATGGTCTGGGCTCCCAGTGGAATTGTTTTGTAATTTTGTTGATGGCAAGCCCCATATTTCATCTAAACATGATTATAATAAGATGAATTTTTTTAAAAAAAATTATTTTCTTCCTTGTGCTAAGCATTACCATCTCCTCCCAAGTGTCCCACAAATAAAAGTGATTAAGACAAAGACTAACAAGAGAACCAACATGGCTTTGGGCAAGTAGAGAATGCAGGTCCCTAGGAGTGGAGAGAGATAGGCAGATCTTTTTATGAAATAAGAACTGAAAGAATGAAAAAAAGCTAATGCTTGGAAGAGTTCTTGCTGAGCTCATGCAACCAGAGCTCAGCAAGCACTTACACTTTAAATTTAGTCACTTGGCTTTGCATGGCTACCTTCACAGGAGCCCTGGGCCACATATTTCTCCTTAGACAGGAGCAAACAGAAGTTTCCCACCAACAGAAGCGTTGACTACAGGTGCTTGCCTTCATGCTACCCAATGACGTCCTAAAACTGACTGAAATGAGTGCATGAAGTGAATTTGAAAATGTCTGGGCTTGTTTTTGTGCCCCAATATCAAGCAATCTAGCTTGTTTAAAGAGTGTTAAAAAAAAAAAGAGAGCGAGAGAGACCATTTCAAAATTTGTTGGGTAAGGTCCTATCATTATCGATATTTCACTGTTTATTTTTCATCAGTTACATCAGAAGCTGCCCTGAGTAACAATCACCTTGGTTATAGAGTTTGGACATCAGTAGAATAGATACTCTTCATTATCACTGCAAGCTTCAGAAAAGCCAACACCCTAAACAACAGTCTCTCACCAAACCCTGCCAAAACCATTTGATGCATCCTTCCATTTCTCTAGAAGTACCCATATGTCACACATCCTTGGCAGAACACAGCCAGATGATGCACAAACTCTAACCAGACCACTGTAGGTCTCTCCAGAAGATTTGGTGCATACTTACCCTTATGCATGAGGGTCCTGGAGTATGGCAGGGGTCCCTCCAGAAGAAGCTCCTGACTTCCTGTTGTTTGGCTCAGACAGGTTTTCATTCAAGCAAGGAGGTTGGCTTGGAAAAACTAAAGACTTATGGCTCTCTGCTGACTCAGCTGTTTCTCTGAGAGTGGGATTACACTGGAGCACACTGATGAGCTGGTGGCAAAGAAACTTCTTTTACTGTGAACTTGTTCTAGTTAGCACCATTCCGTAAAGGTCCCCGTAGTGAGATTAGCTCACAGTGAGGGAAGACCCAAAGATGGGAGACACACGAAAACCTTCTTTGCTAATGGTACCTCAGTTTTTAACTACTGGGTTGTCTGAAAAGTCATGACATATTTTTTGTGTAGAAAAATACGTCAAGACTTTGCCAGTGACCTAGTATTTTAATCAAACTAAGGTTATTCTTCCCTGCTGCTTCTTAAATAATAATAGCCATTTCTAGTATAATTGGAATTTCTTTCATAGCAAATTAGTTTTTTCAGACTAAATATAGTCCAATATAGGGACCAGCAGTTGGCATAATGGCTGTCACCGGACTCCCATGTAGTCGACAGTGGTTCATGTCCCGGACCCAGTAGCTTAAACTCACACTGGGTGCGTGTGTGTGTATGCGCAAGATCCCAAGAGGAGAATGGAGGAGAAGGGACTGTGGCGTGGCCATCCACCCTGGAGGGTGATTTCTATATATATATACATATATATATTCCAATAAATACATGCCTATAGAAACTGACTAAATATCAGTGTCCTAGCCAAATTTCAGATGCCACCATTTGAATTTAAACATTCTCTAGAGATATTTTCTTTAAAAATAAATGTGATAAATATGGACCTACCTAAGAATCTACTTGAGATTGTGCATGAGAATAGGAAATTATTTGTCTTAGGTCAGAGCAACAGTTGTAACATTCTGCCACTAGAGAACTGAAATCCAAATTCCAATATTTTTGCTAATGACCCACACTTGCAATGCCAGGAGATGACTTTAGCATTAAGCTGTTTGGAGACTCCTCAATAATATTTCTTTTCTCCCTTAATTCTTCCCCTTTCTCTTACAAAAAAACCTTTTCTATTTTTGTATTTTGTTCTGTTTCCTATGCTTTTTAATCCTCCACTTCTTAAAATACATGAGTTAGCTATAGAAGTGAGGCTTTTGTTAGTCGGGCGTTTTTGTTTGCTTGTTTGTTTTTATGGAATTTATGCTTTGTCTTTATTTATTTATTCACAAATATTACCTTTTACCTGAATGCCTTCAGCATGCAAGCCTGACACATGTTGAATTATACTCAGTAGGACTAAGAGGCTATGCCAGGGCATCATGGTATTGCCTAATCTGATCTGCCATGGTAAATTTACCAGGGATTTTAAAAAGTTTTAGAAAAGTGAAATTAAAATATGAGTTTATTTTGGTGCAAAAAAGATTTCAAAGGGCATGCATAGTTTTTCATCTGCAATTTCCACAAAATTATTGAAGACCCGTGTTCATACAGAAACCAACAGTTACACCACACCTTTTTATTCTTACTTCGAAGTCCCAATAATCTGCCGGGTCATGCTACATAAAAGTTTCACTGATCCTTTCTCATTACCTGAAATTCAGCCTGACCTCAGCAGCAGAAGGCACCTCATAAAGAGAATATCGATTATGGCATCTGATGTGTTTTTGGACCACCTCTGTTTGTGATATAGAGTATGTGCAACTGTAGAATCACGCTGTAGATCTTTTGGCATTCCTTATAGCCAGTTGCTCAAATTATTGCAAGAAGTTTGATCTTTTTTGTGATCCCCTCCCTTCTACCATTATATTTTAAGCTGAAGAAAGTGCAGAACCACTGTCCCTTTCTCCTCAGTGCCTGAGCTATGCAGGCTGATTCTTTCTTTTGAATTCTTATCTTTGGTTTGAGTATACAGTTATTATAATTGAATGCATGCAACATCAGTGCTCTAG